GTGATATGTGTAAATGCATGTCGTATATCGTAGCATATGTATTAGGTCAATATGCTTTTTAGCAAAATGATGAGCTGATGTGATCAGTTTCATTTTCAGACATAAATTTTGTTTACCATAGCCATTGAGAGTATCTTTGCAAATATCATGGATTCGGATTAAAGATAGAGAAAAACTATAAAGCTTCTCCTAATTATTCAATGATGATTGGTGGCTTTGTGAGATCAGTTTCTTATTCTTTTTTCATGATTATTTTTCAAGTACTGCTAAAGCCAGAGCACAAAGATCACTTATATTCGTTAGGTCACATCAGGAAGAATTCTTCTTTTACGGGTTCCACTTGAATTTATTCAAACCTGTATAACAAATGAAGTTATTGAAAAATGATAAGAGGAAAAGAGTGGATGATAGGAAATAAGAAAGATTTCCTGAAGAAGAAATAGTGTCAGTGCTGAGGAAAACTTTTCTAAGAAAAAATTTCAGAAGTATCTAAAAGAAAGTTAGTACCATTTGCTCGATGTCATTTTATGAATCATTATTGTTATCAATTGTCTGCACAATAATATTAATATATGAAGCGCCAGGTTCTATTTTTTAGACATTCGAATTGTTCATTCCATTCAGAAAAAGAAGAAAGACAGCAGTAACATTTAATGTAGTCATCTGAATGGAGAAAAGTATCAAATAACCATCAGAATAATGGTTATTATAGAGAAATTATAAGTTGTATGAACGCGAAATGATATGCAATTTGAAGTTAATAGAAGGAAAAAGATGTGATAAAGATCGAAGAATTTGTCTTTTGCATATACTACTTTGTCTCTACAATAGCACATTCGAAATTTTGTATTTCTCCGGTACAGCTTCTTTGCTTTCGTTTCTGTTTTACTGACATGAACTAAAGTGGCTCACCAAAACAGTCAGCTTTCTTAGATTAATTTTAAATTACAGTAATAATGACAATGATGTTATTGTTTGTGGATGAAAGGCTGATATGAAACTTGCTGATAAATCAAATAGATTCTGGAAGCTTTCAAACAAAGACAGCAAACACCACAAGAACAGTATAGAACACTTCGTGCATATACCGGGAGAATGCTTTCGTGTCCTCAGCTAGGACCGGAAATGAAGCATCAAAATTTCATCCGAAAACATCCGATTAGTTCTGAAAAAAAAAAAATATATATATATATATATATATTCACCGTAATGGCTGCTAATAGAATTGAAAAATACAATGTGCATGACTACAACGTTAACTATCCTAATAATTTTGAAATTACACCCGATCAGCAAATATTCTTCCTGAAAATTTGGTATTAGTAGCACTAAAATATTTTATCTGTTTTCTAAATTGAAAAGTTAAAAGAGACTGTTTGGTATATTTATTTGGTGCTTTACTGTTAGAATAAATTAAAACGAAATGAAAAGATAGTTAAAAAGAAGTCGGAAACAATCAAAGGAATAATAGGAAGGCAAACAGTTTAAGAACTAAAACTGAAACGCAGAAAAATTAAATAATGAAAATAACGATCATTAATTTTCTCTTTTCTCAGAAGATATGTTAGAGGATAACCGTGAGAGCGTTTTCGGCTCCAGTTCTTAGAACCGTGAAATTTTATAAGAGCAGCCTTTTGTTTCGAGGTCATTTATTGTCTGTCCATTACTTTGCTTTCGATTTTGAGAGAAAATGAATTTCTTTTATAGATGCCCCTATCATAGATGGCTTAGTAGATCTTCATCTAAAGTCGGTAAAGTTTGTTTGTAATCTTAATTGATTAATGACCTTCGATAACTTCATCAGTTAGCGCTTGACAAATTTCTGGGGCTGAGAATGGTCATATTAATTAACAAGTTCTCTGTTTAATGATTATTGTGGCTGTATATTCTATAGACTCGATAGTAAAAGTAGTTCAAGTTTTTCTTCTCTTAGGAGCACATGACGCGTGCTGGACTGTTATAATTAAGTCATCAAAAATGCGATCAGCTGGCTCATCCTTACTTTCTGTACTCCGCTGTTTACCGTTTCGTATAAGACACTCATGACACCTTAAAAGTGGAATAAAAACTTATCAATAAAATTTAAAAAGTGAAAAAAAAAATAAGAAAAAGGATCGAAGAAAATCAAAAACTGAGTTTTATCGGAGGTTATTAATCGCAGAAGCGAAAAAGAGCATAAATTTCTTTAAATCCAAGAAAATTTCCGAAGATTTTGAGTTTCCAATCTCAAAACATGTAACTTGTGTAAATTGTAAAGAAAATAATTAATAAAAAATTAAACTGAGCTGGTAAAAAAGAGACAAATCAAATTTATTGAATTTCTACGCAACATACAAATTGGATTTTAGTTGATTTAAATTAAAGTAGAATGGAACAGAGTGAACGGAAATCTTAAACTTTCGATCCGCCCTTTCATTTTAAAAGAGTGCAGCTAGTGGAATAATTCCGCTGAAGTTGACAATTTTTAAGTTACTCAAATTTTTGTCATATGAAACTGAGTATTTCAATTTAGGAATATAAATATTCCTAAATTGAAATACTCTCATCTGTGTAGCAAAGCAAAAAATGTACTAAAAAGCAGATTTTCGAAAGATTAAAGTCCATACCATATATATATTATACGTTGTGATACTTACCAATTAATCAATTAAACAATTAATTTCACTTCAATTATGTTGAACTGATAAAGGCTTTTCACAAAATAACAAAAATGACCAATAACTTCAACGACCATATTTTAGAGATACGGCCAGTCGTTCGGTTTAGAATCAACCTACGGTACCGCATCAGGAAACTTCTTATTTGATAACATAATGAATTGAAGTGGCATATTTAAAAAGTAAGTGCATTTCCTCTGCAGAGTAAGTAATCTATCGAATATTTTGTAGCAATAGTGACGATGATGCACCAATTCCCTTCATTTTCAATTAGATTCCTCTTTCTTAAATTAAAAGTGGAAATAATTTTGCAGACAATGCAAATTTGCTAATGTTTTCCTTCCTAAATGACGTAATACTTAGTAATCAGTGTTGCACAACAGAGGATATTAGTATCTTGATTATATATTTTATGTAGACAGCTACTGCAGTACAAGACACAGTTTTTTGTTGACGTTTCGAATTAGAATGGATAGTTCACAACAAAAGGTAATATTTCTCCAAGATAAAAATATTGAAAATCTATGAAATTATATCACTGTTCGTTTTAAAACAAGTTATCATAACGATATCATTTATTATTTTTCATTCCAATGACAATGGAAAAGATGTCATTGTAATAAGAATGATTAGCAGGAGGCCATTCATAATCCAATTTTAACAATTTGTTGTCAGACGTATAAATAAATAAAAAGTTATAAATAATGGACGAACGCAATTCAAATTTGAATTTATTATAGCTAACCACAATGCATAAATAGCTTTACGAATGAATAGGTTTGAAGAAAAGAATAAATTAATTTGAAATTTGACCATTAATTTATTGACATTTGAAAACCGGGTAGCTTGAGGTGAAAATAGACAATGGGCGAACTGGGTTCGAATGTGACAATCCAACGGATTGGAGCGGCGACGGGCAGTTGTCCCCAGTAGAACTTCCTATCAATCATATTGAAGTTTAAAAGGAGTGAATTAATGACAACATTTTTGTATTTTGTGCTCACAAACCTATATTGTATACTTGATTGATTGCCCATTGAATCTTAATTTCAAAGTTGCTAAAAATTTCTGAAGTCTAACATGCCGAAAGAAGAAAATTAGTGATATCTGTTGAAATATGTCTATGAAGTTGTAGTCAAAGCATATTATTTGTTTTATCTTTTATCTATGGTCTTTCCATCTCTCCGAATAACTTCACAGTAAAAGCCCTTTGTCAAGCATGTAATATAAAGCATGTAATATAAAATCCTTATAAAAGGAAAAAATTATCAGCAAACTTTTTTAATAAAATGGTGATAGGATAAGTGAGTGATACAAAAATGATATCATGAAAGTTCTAGGCAACAATTTAGATTAATAAAACTATCCACATTTTATGCCTTATTTTTTCGTCACGAGCATACAAGTAAAAATTGCGGCCAACGTCAACCACTTATGATTTATGACATAGCTCTGCCTAATTAATCATTGTCTAGTTATCATTTTCTTAGCGCTTCTGCCCCGATGAAATTATCTAAATAAGATTATGTGGTTAACAAATTAATCATTGATATATTGTCGAAAATTTCAATTTTTAGTAAGGACTTAAAACTTTTTTTGGAGAAGCACGCTATTTATTTGTTTATATGCCATGCAGTATATTGCAATAATTTATGAATTGGACCAAAATTGAATATTGTTATTACAGAATGGTATTATAATATTTTATTTCTCAGTAGCCATTTTAATGAATGCTAATTAGCTTAAAACGATTTACGTGGAGATAAACGAATCAATGGTATTTGTAGAGAGAGGAACCAGCGAACCGTGATGTACTTTTTTTTATTATATGTTTGAAACCAAAAAAAAAAAAGTTGAAATGGAAATGTGAACTTTCGATATCTTCATGAATAAGTCCGAGGATGTAATGAAATGAATTACATTCATAGTCCCGTATTATTTAGCATTTGTTTTGTGGATGAGGCTTTATAACCAAAAACTCTTAATAGATCTTCAGAAAAATCATTTCCGGAAAGCAGAAAGGCAGAAAATTTGAAATTTTTTACAATTCTTTTTTATTACATACCTTCAGAAATCTAATGACTTCACTCTTGAGTGATTACCACTTAAATTAAAGCTAATGCTTGAGAATTGCAAATATAATTAAAGTTCCTGAGTTAAGATCTATTCAAGCTAATAAATGCGGTCAGTATTAGTGTAAACGTGGTCAGTGGATTCTAAATAATACCTAAAGAAAAGATGTGATTCTAAGCACATAAAATTCAACAGCCTTTAATATAACCAAATTCAATGTTTCATTAGCCATATATACGAAATAGGCATAAAGAAATGAGAGATATCGGACTATCCAAATCGAAACATTGGTAAGTCACCCACATGACGGATCTGATAGCGTGCTTCATCTCCTGAACCAGTATTCCGTGTAAGTCGTCGGAATGGTAAATATGGAATATGATCATTATGAGTATTTTCGAAAACATCGGACCAACTCTCTGCAAATTCGATTTATGTTTAAATGGGATAGTTCTGAGATTGATTTATTCTGTATTCTGAACTCGATGAGTTTATGATTCCAATTTTCTGTTTTCAACTAGTTTAATTTTGATTACTACCTCATACTACAAAATTTTTTACCACATTTATTTCTAAACATATATATAATTAAACAAATCAATGGCATATTGATAGACATGATCAATATCAGTGCGAACGTGGTCAGTGGATTCCTGAATAACACCTAAAATGAGAATGATAGGAGTTAACCAGTGAGACAGACCATTTTAATATTTCATTAGTTTATTTGAGAATTTTAAATTAGTCCAATTTTTTGAAATCTGAATTGATTTTAAAGAGCAAATTTTCAACTTCAAAAATGCTTACCATACTCACCTCGAGATAGTAGACCTTCTTGGGGTATATAAGTTAACAAAAACTCATCCGCTGAAAAAATGAAATATTGTTAACTTGCCAACGATCATTCCAAGAACGTGCATAAAAATTATATACAAATTCACTTCAAAATCATAACAGATGAAACTTTTCTTGACTAATCTCCTTCTTTCAAAATAGTACAACTTTTTTAAAAACGATAACGACAAGATTAGTAGAATAATGAGACCAGTTTCTTCTTGAAAAGTCAGTAGATAAATTATTGAAGATAAAATGGCGGCTGAGCTTGACCACTTGTTTGCCAACAATTCTATCAATGCGGAATTTTATAGAAATGTCGTTAAGCAACGAAACAAGGAGCAAAGACAATTATTCAAATGTTTGCTAGGTTCGATAATATATAAAAAAATTTCGGAAGAAAAATAAAGCTTATCTGAAAGAAATTGATAGTGATCAAATAATTTTCAGGTTCGGTTTTAAAAAGATAAAGCTTACGCCGTAGTGTCAATTTCCTGGAATAGAAGATTGGAATGGCAATGGTGGACTGTAGAAGGATTAGCAAAGCGAAGCATATTGTAAAATGGTACGAGATGCATACTACTTCTCTTGACATATTAATAATCTAAAATAAATATGGTTGGGCAAAGATTAATTTTCCGGAACTTGCATCGAAGACGGTAAGTGGATATTCCTGTCTGAAAGCATGAAGCTAATAAAAACTACTATAATAATTTATTATATTGTCGAAATATACTTCAATGCATTTTTGTAGAAGTCTAATATGTATTGAAAATCATTTGAGAATGCGTTGTAAATGGGACAGTTCGGTCTGCATCAGTTTTTTTTTCCCTTAATTTTGATCATTTCTGATCGCTTTTTATACAAAAAAGCTTTTTTTTTTCTACATTTGCTGTGATGATAGGAAGAGCAAGCAAAAATATATTAAACACTGTGTCTCAATCAACTTGTCGCTTGTACTTGTTTTCGGTGAAATGATAGCATATCACTCATTAACTAATTTCTGGGAGAAGATGAACAATTTGTCAGATTTAAACAAATTAAAATAAAAAATTGACTTAATTAATAGATACTATTTAGTCTCTTATCTTTCATTATACCTTGTAGTAATCAAAATTATCATTGCTTCAGATTTAATGTTTGAAACTTACCATAGAACTAGTTGCAGAATTCCTTTTCAACTTTTTGAGTCTTTTGGAAAATGAAGATAGTCTATCACATGTCTCATCTATTTTATAGTAATTGGCAAATAAATATCCTAATTTCAACATAATTTCAATGGAAAAATAGTAATCACAATTGAATACATAACTGTGACTGTGAAGCAGATAAATATATAAGCGATCTTTGAAAGACTTCGTTATCCGATCATTTTATTTACAAAGTGGTTCATGGAAAATAAAAGTAAGATTTGGGAAGAAGTCCCAAAAAATGGCTACCCATTTTCGTTTCTAATGTATAGTTTTTTTGACATGCATAAGCTTTCAATGCTTTATCGCTAATTAATCAGCCAATCATCCTGGAAATCTAAATTCATTGGTTGATAAAGTGGATAAATATGTTTTAGGAATTAAGATATAACAGATGAAGCTTAAACATAATATTTGTTGTAGCGCAGATAAAGACGAGCAGAAAATTATCGAGTAAATCCTCGGGCATACCAGTGCAATGTTATGTTTAGAATCAAATTTATTTTTTAAAGCTTCAAATAGATGATGTGAAGTGAGTTTGGCTTCGAATCAAATTCCTATAAATAACTGTCCCACAAACATGGATGGAAACAATTATCTCCAAAGCTCTATTTGCGATAACAAAGTTCCAATTACCTTTGCTCACTGTTGTTCATTTTATTCGGATTACAACTCAATCGAAATAATTTAACATTTAAATGAAGAAATGCAAGATTCATGTACAGAATCGTTTAATTTCCTCATTAGAGGAAAAAGTTTTTATAGGAAACATTTATATAATGTTAGGATCGCCAAACTGATGGAGTTGCCGTACTATAAATATAAATATTGAAAGTAATTGTTTCATTTAACGGATATGAAAAAAGCAGTGGATCAAATGATTTGCACATCAAAAATTCAAGTTTTCGTTATCAGCTTATAAATAACTAACAGTGATTCGCACAGCTTGTTATGATGTCGTTAATTATTTATAAAGCTTCCTTGATTAATTTGCTGTATTTTCAAATTTTCTTACAGAAAAGACTCTAAATAATTCGTAAATGAAAGGGTAATGGCATAATTATGAAGGAAAGAAAGGCTCAATTTTTTTTTTTGAAAATTTGCATTAACACAAGGTGAAGAACTTGATTAGATTTATGTCAGGTTTTTTACTTTTCATTTATAGTGATCAACCCTCAGATATTACTTAACTTTGTAAAATGAAACAGATTGAAGCCTCAAAAACGTTGGATATGCGGTTAAGTTCATAACATTAGATCAAGAAAATTTATATCCTTGTTGTTAATTAAATTTTATATAGAAAGAAATTCAATTAATGCATTTAATATAATTTCAGTATAGGAAAGAGAAGAGGAAGAAATGAAATTCCTTCTAACAGGTAGTTCATATGTTCTTAATTACTTCACTATAATAATTACTTCTTGGTTGAAAAACAAAACTGATGAAGTTTAACCTAAAATTATAAGTTTTTCTATTGAGTAATTCTCCTCAATTACATGACTAAAATCACAACTGCAAACAATAATTAGAATCAAAGCTATCATTCAATCTCGATGAATTAAATGAATCCGATTTCTCTGTTGTCATCCTGGACAGCGATTACATCTCTTTACTACATGTTAGGATAACAGTGTCAGAGTGCTTAACTCTTTTTAGCTGATACTACCTTCCTGCATAAAAGGCTGTTTTGGAATTTTTTATAGGTTGGTGACAAAGGTGTTCTTATACTCTATAATAAAGGTGTGGAATGACTAAAGCGAGAAATATTTGAAGCACATTAGGAAAGGTCCTTATTAGGGATTGGACCAGTGATTTTCTACTGTTAACCATGATTCGGTTCATCGGATCTTATATCATTCCTAAAATTGGTTACAAACTGCTAGTATGTAATAAGTTATTTTAAACTGAGCATTCTTCTAATATTCTTGAAGTTGTAAACAAATAGGATTTTAATAATCAAAAAAAGATTAGAAATAGATTATCTTTTTTCTCCATACTTCTCATCCTACTAAGGCGTAATCTATTTCCACTATACTTCTCCGTTTGTTTGAACTACCTAAAAATCACTGGTAAAAGATTTTCGCAGAGTCGTAATTATGATGATGAAAAGGACGTAAGGATCAATTGTAATAAGTGTTCATCGACAAAAACTTTCTACAAAATCTCTACCAAGCCTTTTTTGCTGTTAAGAAATTTCGAAGTAATTTGAATAATTCAATATTATTCACTCGTCAGAACTAATAACAAACTTAACTGCTCTCTATAAAGAATTACTATCAAACTTGTATCCTTCCAAACTGAATGTTCGATGTGCAGAGTCTCTGCCGATGTGTACATGGTTTTGAATCCAAATGGAACATTTAAGACTACTACTTATTTCTGTTCCCCTAAAGGACTATTATACTCCGAGTAGACGAACCCTAAAAAAAATTTTATTGAAGGCAAAGCTCACCAACATCAGTGCTATTCCCAAACATTTTCCCGAACACAGTTATCATAATGAAAGGATTGGGTGACTCGTTCCACTTTCATAACATTCCAAAACTTTAGCTTTATAGCTAATCAACTCATGCATAAGTAAGTTCTCACAAAATTACCGACTTATTGAGATTGGCAGTGCTACCGTCCAGCAAAGTGCTATTTCAACGACTTTCTGGACACCTGGTATCTAGAGACATGAAATCGTCATTAAGATATATATAGCCCGCAACGACATATGCACTAAGAGTTTCAATAATCCTAGGAACAAACGAATTCAGATGACAAAGAGTAAAAAGCTAGTTTTATCATATGATGCAAAACTACAATATGAGAAAGAAGACCTTTAGAAACAGTTACCGCAGCAGAAGTCACTCACTACAAATGAAAACAAGAGGAATCAATGCTTCAAGGTATCCAGTGACTAGTGCCTTTGTAAAAATGGTTATTTTAGCTTGTCTTCTATATTTTGGGTTTTGTGAATTGCCGAAAATAAACTCACTGAGTTAGTAATTTTAGATGATAAAGAGATAGGCAAGAAATACAAACATTTAGAATGTTATCATTGCAGCTAACGATATTTTAGGTCCCATAGTTATATGAATACGGTTAAAAGTTTTCCATATCTGTCTTATAAGAACTGGACAATAAAAGATTGCTACTGATAATGCTACCAGCTTTATTTTTGTTTTTCTTCTCGGTTGAATTAAGTTTTACTAAGTATTGCTCAAAATATGCACTTTTTTCGAGTTTGAAAACTTAGAGTTATATAGAGCGTAATTGGGAAATTATACTACTGTGGAATGTCGATAGAACTGTAACGCTAATAGTAATTAAAACATCAAAACTGTAAGTTGCTATCATTTTAATATTGCTATAGCTGCCAATAACATGTCTCCAGTTCATTTTCGTCATTTCGGTAATCTAATTAAAATTGTACTAGTTTTATTGTCGTTTATATTTACTCATAAATGTACTAATTTAGTTCCTTTTAATGTCATATATTCTTGCCTTACTATTCTAATGATTCTTATACAGGTAATTTTAAGTTCTAATAAGGTATATCTACTAAAGTGGTCGATGGATAAAAAAGTCAAGCGATCAGCAGGTTGATTGCGCTTTACCAATATAGTAGACAATGTTCCGCCATTAGAATTTAATGCAGAATTCAAATATTTGTAATAAAAACTAGCTTATTTCCTCAGTAATTTCAATTTGTCTGAAAGAAAATTGCAATTTGCAATTTTCCATGTTCATGTATGGGAGTAGATATTGATGATATTGAAAATGGCATCCATCCTTGCTTGCTAAAGGAAGAATGCTTTATTGCAAATGACCATTTTAGATCTAACTCAGAAACCGATTGGATAATTCTTAAAATAAGTTTCGAAACTTTAAATCAACTGATATGTGAAATCCACAAGAAATACTGAAATAAATCACTAAATTTTTATAGCAAGCAGGAATAACCAATTTGAGATCAGAATGATTTAAATTGAACAAATGGATAGACTTACAAAAATAAAAATAAAATTTGTACGTCTACTCACTTTGGTTAAACATGAGAGATTTAGAGTTTTCGCTAAATAATATTCCTTTCAATACAATACGAAATTTCAATTCGAAACTACTTTGTCTTGTCGTAAGATAGTCAAAAATCAAGAACATTAGGAAAAATCCTCGCACCCAATATACCAAGTGACAGACAACATGAGCCACCATATTAAGTAATAAAGTTGCAATCTTTTGTATCATTCATAAATAATTACTTTAATTTGTGATCAATCAAGTTCGTATACAATCTTAACTCCCGACACCTTTAAACCATACCCTTTGCTTGTGTAGAACTTTATTATCAGCTCCCTATGTGCTCAACTCAAAACACCTCCCCCAAGCAGCATTATGCTTCTCAACTCAAAAGCCAACA